ATTTGTTTACTCTTGCATTTAACATTGATAACACTGTGCTGATAAAACGTACGGAGCTTTCTTTGTATTTTGTTCACAATTTATTCTGATTTTCTTGATCCCACTTAATCAACTTTTAAGTCGGTCAGAGATAAGTAAAAAGTGCAACTATATTAAGTCATTTATATTTGATTTGGTGCAACGAATCGGCCCAAGGACTGGATCACGGGGCCGTGGAACTTAAGGATAATAAAGGCCACCTCACTACAGAAGTGCATTTTTTAGAAGAGGTAAAGACGTACCAATAAAGGACTATACAACCTGGCAGATATAGAATACTACGTTACTCTTTTCTAGAAGAGGCGGAGATTTAACAATAGAGTTATAAACAACCTTGCATATATAGAATACTTTACTTTTTTATCAAAGGTTCACACAATAACTTGGAGTTGGTATAAAATTATCACCCAAGGTTCAATTCTTGTATTACTGATTATTACTACTATTGTATGTATAATAATGTTGCTGCGAATAAGGATAGAAACTAACAAAACAGTTTCACTCAATATTCAAATTTCTATGTTGAGGGCGTGCATTGAAAACCCAGCCCACGTTATGCAAACACACTCATTCGTGGATAATAATGACTCGTGATCGAAGCAACAGGTTTAGATCAAACATGTCGATTAATACTTATATATAATATCTATAAATACTTTTTCAATGAATGGTATTTCAGATATCAATTATAAGCTGCAACAGTAAAAAAAAGACCCGTCAATTTTCATTCCATTTTTGCTATTATCAGCCTCAAACATATGTTTAGCTCGAAATAGTCTGAATTAGGATTTTGAATGCATTATTCTTTGAAATTGAAAGATTTTTCTCTCTTGGCGTCTAGACGTCTACATTTTCCTGAATTTTCATGTGCATATATTTATATGTCTTTACGAACATCTTTTTATTATTGTATGTCAAAATTTTCATGATTTTCTGTCAATATTTTCGTATGATATTTACGTCAATATTGTCGTATAATTTTTGTGTATATCTTCATGATTTTTATGTCAAGATTTTATGTGTCTATTTTATGTGTTTATTTTCATGATTTTTCATGTCTATATTTTTACGATTTATGTCTGTTTTTTCATGTTTTTATTTTCATATAATTTTCATGTGCTTATTTTATATGATTTTATGTGTATATTTCAATGATTTTTATGTACTGCCATGTGATGAAGCCATTTTGAACTTGCACTAAAGGTGAACAGACAACCACTGAAGTGAAGAATGAATACTATCATTCTCGTGTTCAATAGTATTCCTGAAAATAAGCAGAATGATACAACTGTTATTACAGCACGTTCATTCTGTTTCTTGAAAGTCCACTCTTACATAAAACTGTATTGTCGCACATGTCTGACAACACCAACTATATAAGACCGGTAACAAGTTCTTGCTGACCACGAAACTGTAGTGTAAGTCGACATGTCCTGATACTCATCGCTGAACTATTCCTTAAAACGACATATCCAGACTTTATCGAAAATCATTCATTCATTTCACATCCATTAACTGGATGATGAACTTGTAAATATATATTCAACCGGAATTGAGAAAACAGAAGAGAGCTAGCTACTAAATCAGTGGAACTGGTCTCCCATCTCTCCGACAGCCAATCAGATTTAATAAGCTACATGTCCTCAATTATTGCAAGTCAATCAAAATCAATGGGTGGGACCAAAAAGGGTCGAATTGACTGAATTTCAAAAATCTTCTTCTCAAGACCCAGATATGGTAGAATTAAATACTCTTCATAGATGGAAGGGTATAAAGGTGCTTTACCAAAATTGTGAATTTCATGACCCTGGGGTCTCACGTTTACCCCTGGGGAGGTAGTAATCTTTACTATAGTTTATATAGGGAAATCACATTTTGGACCAACATTTGTTTAATTTCCATTGGAAGTAATTCAATTTGGGTTAGCATTATCAGTATAAGGTAGCAGTTTGATGGTATGCACATACATATGAGCCCTGACTGATCCCCCGGGGCTGATGGGTGGGGTCAAAAAGGGTTGAATTGACTGAAATTTCAAATGTCTTCTTCTCAAGACCAAGATATGGTAGAATCAGATACTCTTCATAGATGGAAGGGTCTTAAGGTGCTTTACCAAATAGTAAATTTCATGACCCTGGGGTCTCACGTTTCCCACTGGGGAGGGGGTAAACTTTACTATACTTTATATAGGGAAATCACATTTTGAACCAACATTTGTTTAATTTCCATTGGAAGTAATTCAATTTGGGTTAGCATTATCAGTATAAGGTAGCAGTTTGATGGTATGCACATACATATGAGCCCTGACTGATCCCCCGGGGCTGATGGGTGGGGCCAAAAAGAGTCGAATTGAAGGAAATTTCAAAAATCTTCTTCTCAAATACCAGATATGGTAGAATCATACACTCTTCATATATATAGAAGGAAGGCTCTAAAGGTGCTTTACCAAAATTGTGAATTTTATGACCCTGGGGTCCCACGTTTTCCCCAGGGGAGGGGGTAAACTTTACTATACTTTATATAGGGAAATCACATTTTGAACCAACATTTGTTTAATTTCCATTGGAAGTAATTCAATTTGGGTTAGCCTTATCAGTATAAGGTAGCAGTTTGATGGTATGCACATACATATGAGCCCTGACTGATCCCCCGGGGCTGATGGGTGGGGCCAAAAAGGGTTGAAATGACTGAAATTTCAAAAATCTTCTTCTCAAGACCAAGATATGGTAGAATCAGATACTCTTCATAGATGAAAGGGTCTTAATGTGCTTTACCAAAATTGTAAACTTCATGACCCTGGGGTCTCACGTTTCCCCCTGGGGAGGGGGTAAACTTTACTATAGTTTATATAGGGAAATCACATTTTGGACCAACATTTGTTTACTTTCCATTGGAAGTAATTCCATTTGGGTTAGCATTATCAGTATAAGATAGCAGTTTGATGGTATGCACATATGAGCCCTGATTGACCCCCCGGGGCTGATTGGTGGGGTCAAAAAGGGTTGAATTGACTGTTATTTTAAAAAAAACTTCTTCTCAAATACCCAGATATGGTAGAATCAAACACTCTTCATTGACGGAAGGGTCTTAAGGTTTATGACCCTAGGTTCTCACGTTTACCCCCTGGGGAAGGAGGGGGAGGGGCAAAATTTATTATGGTTTATAATGACAAATGATACTTTGAATATTACATGTTAATAACTTGATTGGAACTATAACCCCAATTGACAGTTTGATACTTTGAAAATTCCCAAGGGCTGTAGGGTGGGGCCCAAAGGAGTCAGTGTGCTAAAATTTCTTCATTTTCCTTGTTTAGAAATAGAGGTGCTAGTTTCAAATTCTTTTAAGTCTTAAATCTGTATGCTAGATATTGAATAAGGTGGTTTTTATTTTTTTTGTCACTTTGAATAATATTTTTGTTCATGTTAAAAACAAAGTCAACTATCTGTATAAATATATCAGGTGACCGTTAAGGCCCATGGGCCTCTTGTTTATTTTACATTCAAAATACTGATGATCATTATGTTTTGTTTATTTCATCTTTATTATTTCTCATAAAAGTCCATCAAGACATGGCTTTCTTTTCAGAAATGGTTTATTAAAGTTATGGTCATGCCGAAAAAAAGAGTTTCCTAACTTCGTTGCAGGTTTTGGTTGTTGTTCAATGCTACGGTTTTGCCAGACAAGAGAGTTTCCAATACTTATTTACAGGCTAGGCAGTAGTACTGGGCTCCTTAAATCTAACATCAAAATTCAAAATAAGAACCAAGATAAGATCACTGCAGTTTGCTGTTTTCAATTAATATCAAGATGAATCACAGGACAGAAGGTAACTGCTGAAATAATGATATATCATATCATTGAACAGGCTACATATCAATAAAGTTGCCACATTTTATTGCAACATATTGTTCAACAGTATAAGTTGTATGCATACCTACACCAGATAAACAAGAACAATATTTCAACTTTATGTACCTGGAATGTTAAGGAATATATACAAAGTTTTCAGAAATGTCTTAACATGCAAAGCCTTTAAATACTGTCCCATAACCTCACAGGATACATACATATCAACAAAGTTTGATCTTCTTCGAGATCATCATGTATAAAGCAACAAGATTTTCACCCAAATTCAGTATGCTCTCAAATAATATATTTAAAACAATTATTACACTCTTCCAATTCCAATAATTGATTTTATTACATACTAACTAATAAATACAGGTTTTTTGTATATGTGATACCACACAATTGCTCTAACCCATATCAGCCCTCGCCGTATCACACCCCAAAACCTGTATCTGCCCCAGCCGTATCACACCACAAGAAATTTTTGGTTTTTCAATATTTCGAAAGAAAAATAGATCATAAGATAGTAGTTTTTATTAGTAAGTATGTAATAAACAGAATAATACATGCCTTTTTCCATATCCCACCCAGTATCAACCGCGACTGCAATATCAGCCCAAGGACTAATATTGGTCGAGGGTTGACCCTGGGTGTGATATGGAAAAAGGCATGTATTATTCTCTATATAACGGGACTGTAGTCTTATGATATATATATTTTAAGGTTACACCACATGTACAGTAAAAAGATACAACTAATAAATATTATACACTTTTTACAATAGTTACAATTTTATTTAATAGGAAGTTTTTAATATCCTGTAAGATTGTTTAAAAATCTTATGAAGAAAAAACAATGGCAGTTCTCTATATATAACATTCAATACTAATTAGTTAAAATAACTGTCTACCTTATCCAAATTATTCATTACTTTTTATAGTAAAACTAACACCTGTCTTCTCCATATCACTAATTTCTTTATACAATATAATTCATTCAACTTTAACTAAATTTCAAAAATAAAAAGGTAAATAGTTTGGTATGTTTGTGTTTTACATCCTATTAACAGCTATGGTCATTTAAGGAGGTGCCAGGTTTTGATGGTGGAGGAAAGCCAGAGTTCCCGGAGAAAAACCACTAACCTACGGCCAGTACCTGGCGACTGCCCCACATACGCCTCCTTAATAGAGCTGATATAAACAATATGAAGTATGAAGCCATTGTAGGTCAAGCAAAATGATCTGCTTAACTTAGTTAGGAAAAATTTCATTCAATAAAGAAATATTTTAATTTAAATATGTCATTTATTTCAGATGATAAGTTTGGAAGAGCATTTGACTCATCTTAATACCTGAAACACCGATATCCATTAAAACATTTTTTATTTTATAACGTTGGGGAAACAACTTCTTGCAGCTAATATTAATCACACTTGTTGGTCCAGATGATAGCGACCTGAGGGTCTAAAAGTAGGAGGAAACAGAGTACTCCTAGAAAACCCAGGTGGTTGGGCAGGTGCCACATATCCCATACCTCCGATCGTAGAATCGAACCCCAGCCGCCTTGCTGAAATGGCGAGTGCAATATCCTTTGTGCCACTCGACCACCCATTTGCTGTAAATACATTTTTTAGTTATCTTCTAAATAAGTTGTTCTGAAATTTTGTTAGTCACATACTTTTGGAAAACAACACACTAGACATTTCCTTTCACAGCAGCTTTCAAAACTCTCACATTTGAAGAATTTGAAAGTATTCCTCATTACTTATGGTTGCCTATTAGGGATTGCCTGTTGATAAGCCTTTCTTACTAAGACTAGCTGCTTTAGATTTAGTTTTAACAAGCTTTTTTAATTGATTTGTTGGCACTGCAAGCTTTTCCTTGCCTGGTATATTAGGAGTTTTTGTCTTATTAGGCACATCTAACGTTTTGTCTTGTGGAGTGTTGCCCTTTGAAGGCACTGCAGGGATTGCAGCTTTTTGCTCCTGTTGTGTAGCTGCCAGAACTTTTGGCAGTCCTGCTGTTGAGATCACAGGAGCTGAAGTGGTTACACCCACTGCGGTACCGGCTTGTGCATTGAAAAAGTACAACTGCAAAATATAAATTATGTGATTGTATTTTGACAATTCAATTGGTTTTAGAACAAACAATTGTGATGTTTAATTCAAACAGCGTCACCCTGTTAAAATATCACACTATGACTTAAAACCATGTAGGTTTTTGTGGTTTTGGAATTGGGAAAATAGTGTCTTGTAATAACCATAACGGAAATTTTCAGAACTGAACTGAATATTGACTTTTTTGGCACAAAGTACCGGTATTATCTAAAAACTAAAAAGCCCTTATTAAAGAAAAACAATTCATTTTATATTTTAGATGTTCCTATTTATCTGAATATAAAGAAAACTTATTTAAAAACTAGAAAATGTCTGTAAGACATAAATGCCCCCGCTGCCATGTGAAATTAGTTTCAGTGTTCTATAAAAATTTACAACCACTTTGATCTTGATACCCTGAAACATGCACACACATAAGGTACTACACTTAAAGTTGATAAGTTGATTTTGATATTCATATGTTTTTTCTGTATGCTATTACCATCTCCAATGTCCAAAGTAGACTCATACTTGACCTTTGTATAAAGTTTTACCAAAATCTGTCAAAGAATGAAGCTGCTAAGTGTTTACATTGAATCGGACGGGACTCGACGGGACGTGACGCAACATGACAGGACAGGGACAGACATGGGCAACAATATATGCCCCCCCCCCCCCATTGTATGGAGGGTTGTACCTTTGTATAAAGTTTGACCAAAATCTGTCAAAGAATGAAGTTGCTAAGTGTTTACATTGAATCAGAACGCGACGGGACGGGTGTTTACATTGAATCGGGACGGACATGGGCAACACTATATGCCCCCCACCATTTTATGGCGGGGGCATAAAAAGTGGTGGTATTTTTTCTTTTAACTTTGGAAATAATCAGTGATTTTTGGAAGAAAAAATAGCACTGTTTTCTAATGTAGATGGACCCGAAAATTGTTTTAATAGTTGACGTCTCATTTGAAATCTTTTACAGTCAGAACTTGTCTCTCATAAATGCCATTCCCCACCACCTGAGAATGCTACCCAGCAAATATGGACAGAGTAATTTGTATAAGGCACTCACTTATTTGATGAGGGGGACTAACAAAGAATTTTAAATGACACAAATCCCCTTGCATGCACAAAAGCTTGTCAAAGAGAACATTTGTATACTGCATCAGGACAAAAATTCCTAGTGATATGTCGCTACATGTATAACTGTAAAAGAACCTGGGTTGGTGTTCGAAAAAAGGGGGGAATACCTGTAAAATATGTGCATTGATTGGGCTGCCTTACAAGCGTCAGCTGTAGGGAATTGCCCTTTAGCTCAGTGGTAGAGCATCGGGCTGGAGAGCCAAGGATCGCAGGTTAAAGCCCCAGTCAAGGCACTTTATCACTATTCCTCGTCCTACTACAAACTGGTCCCGTTGATCCTCCCCGTTCAAGGTAGGAAAACCCTTGGCAGGAAGTCAAAGAACCTGGGTTTGTGTTCGAAAAAAGGGGGGAATAGTGTAAAAGATGTGCATTGATAAGGTTGCCTTACAAGCCTTACACCTGTAGGGAATTTACCTATAGCTCAAGGGTAGAGCATCGGGCTGGAGAACCAAGGGTCGCGGATTCAAGTCCTAGTGATGGCACTCACTTTATCACTATTCCTTGTTCTACTTTATAACAACTTCATCACCTGATAGTGAATTTCATTGTACATGTACCTGCATATCTCTTAATCCAAGAGATCAAGCAGGTTTAGAAATTCACTACAATGACCAAGGTTTTTGTAAAATTACTAGACATCAGCCTTAAACTGGACCAAAACCCCCTTATACACAAATTCAGAAAATATATTCTCATCCTTAACTATTGTACAAAGTTTGATCAAAATCAGTTAAAATATGAAATCATGAAAGTGAAATGTAATGATAACCTTGGCCTTCTGAACTGTGTCTTTTTAGAAGCATTCTCATTTCTTACTATTGTACCGTATATTGAAGTTTTATCAAAATCCTTTCAGAAACTGAGTCACTAGAGTGATTTCAAAGATTTTCTACAAGCAGTAACGGCAATCTAAATATAGCACACTGAAACACAAGCTCCACAAATGTATTCCCATACACGACTATTTCACACAGTTTACTCAAAATTCATTAACAAATGAGGTTGTCAAAATGATGACAAATAATATGCATGTACAAACAAAACAGTATCTCCAGTCATAATCTTGTCGTAAGTCGATAATAACTTTTGAAAATAAAAGCAATAAAACATTTCAATGACATGCTGTAAAGGTAAAATACAAACCTTAAATCCAACAGCCAGACTGGCATGAAGGAGGAAAATAATGATGACAACTGCCCATGCAGTTCGTTTGTTGCCATCTCTGAAAACAGGCCAGAATATGAGGGTGAGAACTGTGCCGGATAATGTTGTCCCCACCAATACAAGGATCCATTGAAGCCAATCCACCTGGACCACCCACAGGATCTGTGCAAAAATAGAAAAGAAAACATTTTTACACTGCACCTGAATAATCTTAATTAGTTTCTGTAAGAAATTGTTTACATGTGATTTTGTCACATACGTGTATATCTACCACTAAAACTGTATGTAATATGTAAAAATGGTTCACCTGTACCATCCACATTAACAATATATAACATAGTCTAATTTATATTAACATTTTATCAGTAGTTAGAGCAACCCCAAAACAATTCTTTCCCATTCAAGTTTATACATAATATCATATCCATGTTTAACAAATATTTTAGTTATTTTTAATCTATGTAATCCAAAAACAGTTATCTCCCTTTGTAGTGTACACAATGGTATATCCGTCCACTGAATAACATAACGTATCTTAAAAACTACATGTGACTTGTCATTGTTTTAGAAAGAAATAACGCAAACTGGCAATAGTCAGCATTTTAGTTTCAGTCAGGTATGTCTGGACCCCTCAGGTACGGCTGACAAATTTGGCACATGTAGATTGAGGGGTCCAGACGTACCTGACTGAAACTAAAATGCTGACTATTGCCAGTTTGCGTTATTTCTTTCTAACACAATGTCATGTCAAATGTAGTTTTTAAGATACGTTATGTAATTCAGTGGACGGATGAAAGAAGGTCATACCTAATATTCTTGAAACACTGTTTTTTATTCTCTGAAACTGTGCATTTTTAGCTTTGCTTATAGAAAGGTCCAGGTGCGTTCATTTATTGTGGAAAATTTCTGTGCCACACGTCCCGTTTCAACCGGGATACGCGAATGTAGCCCAGATGTTATTATAAATTTGTGTAACCTCAAAACAGTTATCTCCCTTTGTAATCCACATGCACCAAGCACAGCATGTATAAATTAAATTTAAAATATATCGCCAATTGTTTATAAACTCATTACTTTGTCTTTCTGAAATCCCTGTTCATTGAAAGTCTCAGATTACAACTCAATAACTCATTACAGAGTCTTTCAGTTCTATATACCCTGGGAGACCACATTCTGGTTTTTTGTATAAACAGTAACCTCTCCTTAATTTCGTTTTGGATATAACTGTAGCACAGATGGTTCAGGACACATCCAATGACCTGGTAGTTCAATGGGTAAGAGCTACTGTATCAGAGTTCGAATCCTGGCCAATCCATGCTGATGAAATTTGATATTTTTATAAAAGAGCCACCAGGTATATTTCACATTTCAGAAATGATTTATCAAAGCTATAGGTCTGCCTAAACAATAAATTTGATGCAAAGTTTCTTCAGTCCAGGCCAAAACTCTTCTTTATCTAAGCAATTCAAACTCTGAGAATAAGTACCCTGAATATTGATTCTGACAGCATAAATCCTTCATCAAAGTATTGCTTTTCTTGAAGCTATATAATTTTTACCTATCAGTCTTATCATCTTTGATACATATTAAAAGTAATGATATGGTAATTTCATTGTTCCTAACATCCTTCGTTTTGAGCAGTTTTACTTTGGGTCATAATCAATTATTTTTAATTAAACTTATGACAGTACAATATATTAAAGTTTTCCTTTTTACACAAACAATGTACGTATGAAGACCGAAATGTTGCGACAGGTTTATTACCTACATTGTATGTGTAAAAAGTAAAACTTTGATATCACATATTTCCAAACTGATGAATCTTTTTGACAGTACAATTGCATTTTATTCTTGTTTGTCCATTTTACAATGAAGTAAGAACACAATACATTGATAGATATTACAGAATTAGACTGTCTATGTTTAAATTAATTAACTTACTTTCTGTTAGAAATAAGAAGAAATTGAATAATCTTTCCAAATTTTTAATTGCTGCTTCACAACTGAGGTCAAATGAATAATTACATATATTGTCCATCCTCCATAATATGTCTGTATTGCTGTGTATCACTCACTCAATTTTGTAAAATGTGTTGTAATGTTTATGCTGATTAGCCGAAAGAAGGCAAATAAACTTATGAACTTATGAACAATATGTTCAAATCAAATTTCATCACTGTTGATTAACAGCAATCAGTACTCACTGCAAGCCCATTACACAATTTGAATTATACATTATATACACCCATGCTGACGACACTGTCTAACTGGAAAATTAAAGGGGTCACAATGCACGGACATGCATAAAAGAGCTCCAATGTTAAAATAACAACCTAGGCATGATGTGGTACTTTCGGTTTGCATGTGTGCTTATGTAACATTACATACTGAATATAATAATGAATAAATTGTCCATATTTAATACAGTTATCTTTTTTTTGTCTTTAATTGACTGTTTAAAGATGTTGACTTGACCAATCATTATAACAAAGTTAATACCAAACATGGAAACTCGTTTAACTCAAATACTCACTTAACACAAATACCCACTTAACATACCTGGTTACCTCGAAGTTTTTCCACAGTCCTATCAACTTCGAGATAACATGGTTAAACTGTATTCGGAAGTGGTACAGGAATCCTTAAAGTACCATTTTCTGGACTGATATCATAAGTGAAGGAGCATTTACTGGACATCTATTTTGACAAGTTGAAGGACAGGTATTATTATGGGGTAATGGAATCATTACCAGGCAAATATCAAAAACACAGGAATAATCACTGTACGTACAGCATAAGTATAGGAATATCCAATAGACATATATCAAAAGAAGGCAGTATACTTACAGATATAGGAATGTATATCGCTAGTGAGTATCCATACACAGACAAGAGATCAAGGAAGGAGTAGCCAGCATTGGTTCCGCGCCACCACAGGAATGCAAACAGGCCTGTCGGTACCAGCCACCAGTAACTAAATATAGCTGCTGCTGCAAATGTCACTGAAACAGCAAAAATCATCAACCAAGTCTTAGATCAAACATAAATACCAGACAAACAGTTCCATGTTAACCTTTTATTTTAAGATACCATTTATCCACCCATTGACTGTGTTCAATTTGGTTTATAAGAAGAGGCTCAAGGAACTTAATTGATCTGGCTCATACTCTTTCATGTATGAATGCGATCATGAGTGAAGGTTGTCCATTTGACTAAATTTGATTAAAAATCCAACCCATGCAAGTTACAACAAGATATCATTACCATAGATTCCATGCTTCCATAGAAGTTCTTTTTTAAACATTTGATATACCATGACTGCAGACCACACAGTTCTGTAGAATTTTAAGTTTTTTAAACACATCTGACACTGGCCCCTGTGAAGTGGATCAAGGTCATAATTTGAACAATCTTTATAGTCCTCTTCTGCAGCAAATAAAGCCACATAACAAGTTAAGGCCTTTTTGGTCTGTTAAAGAGGTCATTTTAAGTTTTAATGCACGTTACAAGCGAGTCAAAGTTATGCATTTGAGCACGACACCTCTTCATCAGAGCAAGCTAAAGGTCAAACATCAAAATGTTAACACATTTGACCATTGTGACCTTGAAATGGAAGTCAAAGCAATTATTAGTTACTTAAACAAAAATTTGACAAAAGCAAACTTGCAGACAGATGGTTCTTCACTTCATAAACTCACAGACAATTAGTGCCTGGTTGACTCACCTAGGGATTACTTTTAATGATAATTTATCCAAAAAAAATCATTCTAATTTTGCCTGGTATCTATCAACATTTCTTGCCATCAATTCTTCATGTTCAATATTTGTTTAACTTAAAAAAAAATCCCTATATATATATATTACTTTGTTAATTACAGATTTGATTTCTACCTTTGTGGAAATCATATCGCCATTCATATTCCTTTCCACCAGACTGTAAATAGTTAGCCAGGTTACCAGCAATGGCCGTCGTGAAGATTAACGTTGTACATATCCAAAACGGACCTGGAATAACAAAACTTAATTTGAACAACAATTCTGAAAGGTTTATATGCTAAAATCTATTTATACAAACATGTAAGATCTGGATATGTTAGAAGGATGCTGCAATCGACTATCACACACTTCTTTTCTTTAAATTCATTTTTTTCTCATTTTGATTCCGACATCGCTTACAAATAGTTGGGTTTTATTTTTTTTATTTCATATAACATATTAAGAGAAAAGAAATGGAAATATGTCAAATGTGTTTATATTATGAGCGACCTGTCAAAGGATTGTAAATCATGTACATACTTTAAGTATAGTTTCAAAATAGATCTGTGTAACTGTGTAAATGCAGACTAACTAAAAGTTATGCAAATGTAAGTCTGAACGTTGTATGTCTTCCTTGACAGAAAGCCAGTATGTACCGTATAAATCAGGGTTAGGCTGTATGTGAGTCTTTAGATAGTTGCTGCCAGGTCGTGGAACCATTGATCCTAGGATTCTATTCAGCACTTGGTATGTCTCCACATCAAAAAACTGCTGGTAATACTGGAACGTCCAGAATGATGGCGGCGGCTTCTCGTCCTTTAAAAGCTGCAAAAGTTACAGAAACATTCCTGACTAGGATTGATATCTTGGAGATGATGCTATAACTACTTGGTATCACCAAAAAGGATTACTATAAATGATATCTAAATTCTCTTCCCTTGATCATATTTGTTTTCTTCTTCAGACAGTAACAATACCGTCTCTGATACTGTATCACTGGATATTTCAGCAATCATGGCAAATTATTACCGTTTAAAATAATATTGCAAATATTTAAGTCTTAGGGATAGGGCTAGGGCTAGACCCATGGTATAATCTAGATGTAAACCCTGTAGCATGCTTGTGTTTGATACTTTATGCCAAGTAAGCAACATTTTCTAAGCTATGACCCAAACACCAAGTCTCTAGTGTCTGGGAGAACCCTTGGAGCAATCCTGGTCATATAACTTTAATGTATTCAACTCTAAATGTCAATCAATTTTATATGGTAATAGGGAGGGATATCCATATTTCTTTTAATCTTATAACCCTCTGCCTTAGTTTCTAGGGATGAGGCCAGACTCAAAAGCCAATCCTGGTAGCATATGTGTATTCATACTTTCATGTACAGCAATTGTATATATTAGTACAGGGTGGGGATATCAAACCTTTTCCATGCTATTGCCAAGAGACAGAGTTTTTAGGCTATGGCCAGACCCTGAGGACAACCCTGGTGCATGTAGGATGATCAGATTGTGTTGTCCATTCATGCCACGAAGCAGATGCATGGTTATAGGTTTGGATTTCAAACATCGTCAAATGCAAGTTACTACATCTTTTTTTGTCCTGCCCCTTAGCTGAATTTGGGTCACCCCCTCTATTTGTATAGTAATCATCACCATCTGAAGATGTCATTTGAGGATTAGTTGATAAACAAATGGTTGACAGACAAGCACTGCAGATGCCATGGTCAAGCATATGCTTACATGGTCCTTTGGACCAGGAAAGCTAGTTTTTTTGTTTTTTTATTTGAGATGGTTTTTCTCAATCAGTCATTTCAAGTGATATTTTCAAGCATACTTCAGACTTGTCCAATATGTTTTCTTCATCATCGTCAGACGCAGCTGTGTGTGGGAAATTTGTAAACATGTGGGTCTGGGTTTTCTTCTTGTCCTCCTTTGTACTTGGATAACCTCCATCTGTAGATAATTGAGACACATATCAACATATCTAACAATCTGTCCTTTTCAAAAAGGGGAAAATGTACTTTTTATAATGTTTCTAAATTACAGAACATCAAAGGGCTTGTATTAATTAATATGGGATGGGGCCTTTTTGTTTCATTTTGGGAAGACAAAAGACATTGGGAAGGAAATATTAAAAAATTAACTGTAAATTATGGGAATTAGGCATAGATATGAAATAGTTTCGATTTTAGGAATGGGACCCATTGTTGGCCACAAAAAAATCCCCAGAAAAAAACACTGCATTGTGATGAAGTTTTTCATTTTATTTCTCTACCTTAACAACCCCAATGAAATATGACGTTCTTGACATCCAAGTTTTTTTTAGATATTTCCCGGCTGGATCTATCAGGAGGATATTTTTATAGTACAGTTACAGTATGATTTCAAAGAAAATTAAAATTAAAATAATGACATTTATTTTTTATTTTGCAAAGATACAAACTCTATCGTTATAAATCTCTGATTTAGATAGAGTTCCTACAGGAACTAAATATCAATCATGATAAGAATATTTTCCTGATAACATGTGCCAAATCTCACTTTAAAGCGACAACATGCGTGTGCGCGCGTGCAAAACACTATTGTGGGGGTATACATTAGCTAAGATGATGAGGATTTGGTCGTTAACAAATCATACCATGAAATTGTAGGCCCTGCTTGTCATCCTGAAATTATAGAACATCATAATTAGCAACATTACATTAAACAATAATAATATGTAATCGGCTATGCAGACAATTAACTGTAAAATATACTCTTCAGAACTTTAGCCTACACTATATTGTTTTGACATACGTCGCAAAATAAAATGTCTTGTTGTTGTTACTGTGCAGAGGCTTTGCTGAGCGAGACATTAATTCGTCTATTTACATTTTCCTATCAGATTAACCTTAAACTCGCGGTAACTAACTTGGTTGTCAGTCGTGTGATAAATAGAAGATATACATTGATAAAATGACATAGAAGTAATGGTTACTTGTTTACCAACTTACATCATTCAGATCCACGTCAACGCTAGTGTCGTCCGCCATGTTTTGAATACAAATTATCTCCCCTGGTACCGGAAACGAATGCAGGTGCGTTCGGATACAAATATTTTATGCTAGGGTACATTCGAGTATAATATCCGGTTGAAACGGTTGAACCGACTGAACATGTAAAAAAAACGACAGGTACGGACTTGACCGAGGCTGACCTCAGGAAAATTCGGCACATGTGGATGGAGGGGTCCAGACGCACATGACCGAAACTAATATGCTGACTATTGCCAGTTTGCGTTATTTCTTTCTATAACAATGTCAAGTCACATGTAGTTTTTAAGATACGTTGTGTAATTCATTGGACGGACGAAAGAAGGTCATAATATTCTTGAAACACTGTTTTTTATTCTCCTAAACTGTGCAATTTTAGCTCTGCTTATAGAGTGGTCTAAGTGCGTTCGTTTATCGTGGAAAATTTCTGCGCCACACGTCCCTTTTCAACCGGGATACGCGAATGTAGCCCAAGGGTACATTCGCGTATCATGGGGTACATTCGCGTATCCGGTTGAAACGGTTGAACCGGTTGAACCTGTAAAGAAAACGACAGGTACAGATTTAGAGCGAGGCTGACCTCAGGAAAATTTGGTACGTGTAGATTGAGGGGTCCAGACGTACCTGGCCGAAACTAAACTGCTGAATATTGCTAGTTTGCGTTATTTCTTTCTAAAACAATGTCAAGTCACATGTAGTTTTTAAGATACGTTATGTAATTTAGTGGACGCGTGAGAGAAGGGCATAATATTCTTGATACATTGTTTTTTATTCTCCGAAACTGTGCATTTTTAGCTCTGCTTATAGAACGGTCCAAGTGTGTTCGTTTATCGTGGAAAATTTCTGCGCCACACGTACCGTTTCAACCGGTAACGCGAATGTAGCCTAGTTGAAACAGTTGAACCGGTTGAACCAGGGCCGTTTTCGTTTAAACGGTCAAACCGGTCGGACCACTGTTGTTCGTTTATTAAATAAGGTCGGGCCTAGTAGTCTGATGCTGCTTTCGGGCGAGCCTTCACAAAGCCTTGCAGGGCCTGCATAACCATTTGCAGGTCCGCCAGGATTTATACCCGAAATTGTTATATTTATTAACGGTCAAACCGGTTGTTTCGCATAAACGAACAGGCCCCTGGGCTACATTCGCGTGCTCCGGTTGAAACGGTTCGTGTGGCGCAGAAATTTTCCACGATAAACGAACGCACTTGCACCGTTTTATAAGCAGAGCTAAAAGTTGCAGTTTCAGAGAATAAAAAACAATGTATCAATAACAATATGCCCTTCTTTCATTCGTACATGTAATTACATAACGTATCTTAAAAACTACTTGTGACTTAAATTGTTTAAGAAAGATATAACGCAAATGGGCAATAGTCAATCTACACGTAATATTTTCCTGAGGTCAGCCTCGGTCCAGATCTGTACCTGTCGTTTTCTTCACTGGTTCAACCGTTTCAACCGGATACGCGAATGTACTCTTGTAAAGAAAACGACAGGCACAAATCTAGACCAAGGCTGACCCCAGGGAAATTTGGTGGGTCCCAGACGTACCTGACCGAAACTAAAATGCTGACTATTGCCAGTTTGCGTTATTTCTTTCTAAAACAATGTCCAGTCACATGTAGTTTGTAAGATACGCTATGTCATTCAGTGGACTGATGAAAGAAGGTCATAATAATCTTGAAACACTGTTTTTATTCTCCGAAACTGTGCATTTTTTTCCCATGGCGGTGAATTTCTAGCTAACGAACATGTCTTTCCAGCCGAGGAGAGAAGGTAACTTCTCGCTTTATTCGCCTAGCATCTCTCGAATACAAGAACATGCCTTTATTCTAAATCAAAATCATCTTCCAACAGCATTTCACTATCAAACATCGTTATAAACCCATTGATTCTCCCTGCGGCACCCTCACAGTTCGTGCATGCTCTAACTGAACCTGTTCGTTTTTATTCAAATCCAAATGTGAACAGAAATTTCTGATTAGAGGTATTTATTATGAAACTATTCTTACTTGTATTGCGTAAACAGACTTTGTTTTCGGTCAACAGCGTAGTGCTGTACGGGTTTACTTCTCACTGAAGGCCCGAATATTGCGCTATTTCGGTCGTAGCTATTATTATCATCGGCTTTTCCAAAAGATGAAACTGACCACACTGGACGTTGGCTTCAGGTCATGTCATTATTATCTACGTAAACTTTTGTTAGGAGATATTTATTTTCAGTATCGGCTCGATTTTCAGGTTGCATTAGACTAAATAGCCCCTTTGAACCAAGTTTCTACTAATTAGCTGGGAGATTAACAAAGGCTTCAATTCCCTACTACCAATTAAAGGGACATCACGTGAAGAACCATATTTTGTTTATAAATGTATGTGTTGTTATGCACTTCCACTTATGTTACCTTGCTATCCCATAGTTCGTTCCAGATGTCCAGTTTGACCACTTGAATTGTTCGGAAAAGTCCTGTTAAAAAAAAACGCCAATAACGTAAACGTCACCTGACGGTTTTGAAACGAGGCATTAACACATGTGGTCTGACCAAGATGCAAAGTTTCCAAAGGGCCCCCAGAGAGAGGCCGTTAGGCAACTGCAACTTAATACGTGTACATGTAGAATATGTGCGTTGGATATGGGACGTGTTGAGATACTTGATAGTTATATGTTTTCAATACTTTACATAGGTTAAAGCATGTACTTGTAAATGGACCCTATTTTATGCTGAGACAACTATTTTTTAGTCAGTTTTTTGTCCGAAACAGGACAAGATTCGGTGTTACAATGAGACAATTTTAAACCCAAGCAATAATTTTGCTGTGAATGCCAGAACGAGTGAGTTGTAGAAGGAGTCTGGCATGGCCGACTTTGCCGAACGCCTTTGAAAAGTCCATTGTTTGTTGACCCAGTGCTAGATTAGGATAAATGTCTGAGGTAAAAGTAAGAAGTTGTGTTTACAAAACCATGCAATATTACTGGAGAGGGCTGAAAAGATTATATTTGTCGGCGTGAGTCATGATACTTCTGGTAAGGATGCAGGTTGGCGAGATAGGACGGTAATTTGGCGGTTGGTTTTTGGTCCCTTTTTAAATACAGGGGCTACAATGGCAGTTTTCCAGTCTGAGGGAATTACACCGCTTGAGAGGGAACAGTTGAAGAGATCTGTGATAATTGGAGCTATTTCTCAACAAAGGCCTGTTTAAGGAAATTGGGGAAATTTTATCAGGGCCTGTGGCTTTCTTGTGGTTCAGGTTTTTAAGAAGTTTGGAAACACCAGTTATTGGGATATTGAGGTCTGACATGTAGTTTCCAGGCTTTTGTGAGGAAAAGAGGTCAAGTTCACAGAGATGAGATAATTTGAGTGGGACTGGGTTGGTAAAGACAGAGTGGAATTGTCTGTTTAATGTTTCTGCTTGGGATTTTGGGTCGGAGTATGTTATGTCATCGAACTTGCGTGGTGATTGTTTACCTGGTTTGGGGATTACAATCGATTCCACATGTCCCAATAACTTTGCCGTATTTTTCTTTGAATTTCTGTTTTGACAAGTTTTATTTTCTGATTTAGTTTTGAGTGGTGTGCCAAGGAAGTGCTCTTAATTTTCTTATTAAGTTTGTCACGTTTATTTATCCAGGGCAGGTTATCCTTTGATTTGGTATTTTTTGTTGGGATATGCAAATGGATAATACTATCTAGTTTAGTTTTTATGATTGACCATTTTTCTTCATTTATGAAATTTTGGTTGGACGACAGGTATATAGTAGTGAAAGAAATTAGTTCAGTCTTAATGGCATCCCAGTCAGCTTTGTTGTATAGCTTTATTTGGTGTGGTTGTTTCCGTTGTCGGCCAAGAGTGACAAGGATTTCATGAATACTATGTCGTGATCAGCAGATCCAAGACTTGGTAGGGTTCTAGTTTCGTGGACAAGAGATGGCTAATTGAGAAAGAAGAGATCAAGTGTGTTCTCTTTACGAGTAGGTATTTTTACAACTTGTTCAAGGTTGTGATTTTCTATGATGGTAAGGAAGTCAGAATAAGGTGCAGTATTGCAATTGTTTTTATAGCATTGTTGTTGTCATACTTTGGGAGATTAAAGTCACCAAGTAGCCACATGTGGGCATTTCTAGGGACACGTTGGAGGGACAGGGACAGTTGTGCAGTGCTATCAGGTTCAATTTCACTTGGTTTATTGTAGGCAGCCAGGTAGATGGATGCCTTCTATCCGGAGAGATTTATTTTGGCCCAAATTATTTCACATTTAGTAACTAGCTCTGGTTGTTCTTCTGATATGAGCTCTTTAGTAATTGCAAGGAATACGCCGCCACCTTTTTATCAGGACAATCTTTCTTATATACACTGTAGTTGTCAGTACGAAATATTTCTGCGTTGCTAATTTCAGGTTTTAGCCAAGACTCGGTCCCTACTATTATATCAGGTTTTAGTTGGTCTACGACTTGATGGAACTCGAGGACCTTATTTTTAATTGACTGACAGTTCACGTTAATTATGGTGAGTCGTCAGGACCTTTTCGGTTTCCTTTTATTTATTGTATTCTGTTGTTTAGTTTTAGAGTTGTTGTGAGGGGAAGATGTTGCTAGGTGATGATCACTAATATTAGAACAGGTGGATTCGTCTAGGTGCAGTGATTCATATATGGTTGTGTCTGACAAGGTGTCCAGTGAGTCAAACAAGTCCCCAGAGTAGTTTAAAAGGGCACACCGAAGGCACTGCCACGAGTAACGACTGTCTGATAGCCTGTCGTATGCTATACTTCCTATCCCTTGGCATGCTATATATGGTGCCATTGTTCACAGTGGTCACACATAATGCCTTTGTCGCTCTATGAAACTTCCTTGTGACAGTAACAGCATTCGTTTTTTTAGTACCAGATCATGGGTTCGGATTTATGTCTTTAATGTAAGAAAGAGGTAGAGGAGTACGGGTCCAACTCCTTTTTTTTAGTTTTATCTTTGCTGAATGGGCAAAAGAAAAAAGAAATGCTTTTAACTGTGACTGTGAATAGGTTACTATTGAGTTTGATACTATTTGATGG